TTATATACTTGGAAGTTATTAAGAGATTAGATTTTAAATGTTTTCACCAGGAAAAAGAAATGGTAATTATGTGATGAGATGGAGGTGTTAGCTAATGCTATGTTGATAATCATTTTGCCTTATGTAAGTGTAACAAATCAATAGGTTATACACCTTCAACTTACACAATGTTATATGTTAGTTACATCTAAACAAAGCTGGAAAAAATAAAAATGAAAATATATGATGGCTTATGACAATTAAAAAATGCGATATCTGAATTGAAACTGTCACTGGTAGGATTAACAGAAGGTGGAACAGTGCAAAAGAAAAAATTAGTGAACTTGAAGACATATCAAAAGAATATATCCAAAATGAAGCACAGAGAAAATATGACTGGAAAAATAATTTAAACAGAGTATCAGGGACCTACAGAATAATCAAGTAGTCTAACACATGTAGTTTGTAACACATGTAATTGCAGTTCCAGAAGAAGAAATAGAAGGGAGGCAAAATATTTAAGAAACAGTGGCTGAAAAATTTACATATTTGATGAGAAACTATAAAACCACAACCTGACACCATTATAAACCCACTAAAAAATGCTAAAATTAAATAAAGAGATACTACCAAGTACTGGAGAGGATATGGATGGCCTGGAATTTTATACATTGTTGGTGGGAATACACAATACTACGATATTTCTGAAAACTGCTTGGCACTTTAAAAAATAAAATTAAACATTATCTTATCATACGACCCAGCAATTCTACTTCTAGGTATTTTCCTAAGAAATGAAAACAAATGTCCACACAAAGACTTGAATGTAAAAGTTCACAGCAGATTTATATGCAACAGCCCCAAACTGGAAATGATCCAAATTTCCATCAACAAGTGAATGGATAAAGTTGGTGGCACAGTCATACAATGAAATACTACTCTGCAATAAGATGGGATGAACTCTAATAATAATATGGATGCATCTCAGAAATAACTTGCTCTCCAAAAGAAGCAAGAAACAAAGAGTACATATTATATACAGGCATACCACAGCAATATTGCAGTCTTAGTTCTAGAGTACCACAATAAAGAGAATGAAATGAATTTTTGGTTTCCCAGAGCATATAAGAGTTACATTTATACTATACAGTAGTCTATTAAGTGTGCAATAACATCATGTCTAGAAAAACAATGTATATATCTCAATTAAAAAAATACTTTATTGCTAAAAAAGCAAGCCATCATCTAAGCTTTCCGCAAGTCATGCTGGTGGTGTCTTGCCTCAGTGTTGATAGTTGCTGACTGATCAGGGTGGCATTTGCTGATGGCTGGGGTAGCTGTGGCAATTTCTTAAAATAAGACAACAATGAAATTTGCCACATCTGTTGGCTTTTGCTTTCAGGAACAATTTCTCTGTAGCAGGCAGTGCTGTCTGATAGCATTTTACTCACAATAGAACTTCTTCCAAAATTGGAGCCAATCCTTTCAAACCTTGCCCCTGCTTTATCAACTAAGTATATGTCATATTCTAAATCCTTTTTTTGTCATTTCAACAATTTTCCCAGAAGCTACAGCAGGAATAGATTCTACCTCAAGAAACCGTTTTCTTTGCTTATCCCTAAAAAGCAACTCCTCATCCATTCATGTTTTATCATGAGATTGCAGCAATTCGGTCACATCTTCAAGCTCCACTTCTAATTCTAATTCTCTTGCTTTTTCCACCTCATCTGCAGCTACTTCCTCCACTAAAATCTTGAACCTTCAGTTTGTAAATAATGCAGTGTCTACAAAGCCCAATAAAGGGAAGTGCAATAAAATGAGGTATGCCTGTGATTACATTTAATTAAAATGCCAAAAACAATTCTAACCTTCTGTGACAGAAAAAAAGATTATGAGTTGCCTGGGACGAGTGTGGAATTGACTGGGGTGGGACATAAGAAAATTTTGGGGGGTAATGAAAATGTTCTGCATCTTAATTGTGCTTGTGATTACATGTGTATATATATTTGTAAAGATTCATTGAAATGATAGTTAAAAATGGGTGCTTATTTTATTGTATGAGATATGAACTATACCTCAATAAAGTGATTTAAGAAAGTCAGTAGTTTTCTTATACATTTGCAAAAATTAGAAAATGTTATGAAAAAACTTTATCCACAAAGTTAACTAAAAACACAAAATACCTAAGGTAAGAAAAAAATTATGAAGATAGTATAGACCTTTATAAAAATTACAAATACTGTAGTACTTATGATAACACCTGGATAATTGGAAAGATGTTTCACATTTGTGGATAAAAGCCTCAGTATATTAAAAAGATGTCATCTCTCCCCAAAATTAATTTAAAATTGAACTTCTTAGTTGAAATCCTCTCTTAATTTTTCATTGAATTTGACTAGCTGATTCTAAAATTCACTTGGGAGAATGAGATCTTAGAATGAAAAACAAGTCAATATAAAAAAACAAGACACTGTTTTTAAAAAGGTAAGATAGTTACAGTTGTGTAATAGTGAGATAGAAAGAGACAAGAGATTGGAAGAAAACAGACTACAAAGTGTAGGAACAAATCTATGGGATTTTTACATGGTAAAATTGACACTTCAAATCAATGCCAGAAAAAAAGGACTTTTCTATGTGTGGTGTTGGGACAATATCTATTCATACAGAAAAGAATGTAGCTGGATTCCCACACAATAAATTTTGTTTAAAGAATCTTAAAAATTGAACTTAAAAACAGAGAAAAGTAGTGACTCTATAGCATCTTACTATGCTGATGGATAGTGACTACAGTGGGGTGTTGGGGGGGGGAGTTTATAATATGGGTGAATGTAATAACCACAGTGCTGCTCATATGAAACTTTTGTAAGATTGTATATCAATGATACCTTAACAAAAAAATTGTATATAGAAAAATTGAACTTAAAAGTAATAAGCTAGAATATATATATATAATTTTGGTATCATTAATCTACAATTACATGAAAAACATTATGTTTACTAGGGTCCTCCCTTCACCAAGTCCCCCCCACTAACCCCATTACAGTCACTGTCCATCAGCATAGTAAGATGTTGTAGAATCACTACTTGTCTTCTCTGTGTTGCACAGTCCTCTCCACGCCCCCCCCACATGATACATGCTAATCGTAGTGCCCCCCTTTTTTTCCCCCACCTTTATCCTCCCCTTCCCTCCCATTCTCCCCAATGCCTTTCTCTTTGATAAGCTAGAATATATTTGCAACCATGGGGTAAAACTACATGGGGGTAAAAATGACACATAGAAAGGCATTAAACACAAACAGAAATACTGGTAAATTTGATTATATTAAAAAACCTTGGTATATCAAAAGGAGCTATATTCTGCCTCCCCTTCTCCCCCCCACTTTTTTGTTTTTTGCTTTTCAAGATGAAGTGAATGGTTTTATGTATTTGTCCTTCTCTCTGCTGGAAATAATAAAATTTCCTTTTTAGTTAAAAAAAAGTCACCATAAGCAAAGTTAAATATCTAGTGGTATACTGGGGCAAGATATTTGCAACACCTATAGCAAACAAAGCATTGACATAATCAAAAAGAGAAGACTAACTCAATAGAAAAATAGACAAGGAATACGAAAAGGCTAGTCACAGATAAGGAAAACCAAAAGGACAATGCATATAAAAAAGACACTCAAGCTCATTAGTAATCATAGAAATGCATATTAAAACAACAAAGAAGTATCATTTTTGGTTCATCAGATTGGGAAAAAAATCATAGTTTGATAATCTCAAGAAGTTGCAAGGATATGAAAGAACAGTCATTTTCATACCCAGTTGTTGATAGGGCAAATAGGTATGGCAATGGTGAAGGCATTCTAATAGTATCCACTGAGACTGAAAATGCACATAACCTAGTTAACTATTCTAAAAAGCCTCATATTTGTGCAAAATGAGACAAAGTGCTATTAATTGTAACAGTATAAATAAAATCTGTTCTTGTCATACAATGTAATACTATACAACAATCAAAAGAATGAACCACATTTTGAACATGGATAAATCTCAAGAATATCACTGAGTGAAAAGTGAAAATTGCAAAGTGAAACATTTGTTGATATGATTTATATATTACATATATGTATATATATACATATATACATAGAAAAAGTATTAGTTGTATACTTTTATATGATTCATATATATTATATATCATAAATATATACTTACATATTACATAAACATGTGTTTTTAAAAGTCTGGAATGTTATTTTTAAAGGTCTAGAATGACAATATAAAATTCACAAGAACTGTCACTGAGTAGGGGTATGGGCACTAGGATTGGAAATCATAGTTATAGGGCTTTTTACTTTTATCTATAAAGTTTTAATTTTTTAAAAGGGAAATGCATTTGGGTATTACTTTTATAATCAAAATAAATTTTAAAAATCCATTGGATTTGGCAGTAAGTAGGTAATGGGTGAATTTTGCTATAAATTTCATTGGAGTGCGTAAGTTAAATGGATTGATGAATGAAAAGAAGTTCAGGATCTAGAGATAGTTATTATAGGCTATTATTCAGATGAATCTGGACATGAAGGGAAATAGATGATGGATGATGATGGATGGGACACTGGACTTAGGGAAAAAGTTTGCTTTTTATGTTATAATATCTATATCTATACAAAATGACTTTCATATATATATATATATACATATATATGTATATATATATATATATATATAATACATAGTGTATAAGGAAGAAGCCATTACATTAAAATATAAAGAAAATCACAATATAGGAGAGACGAATACATTGATGAAGTGAACCGTCTTGGCACTAAACATTTAGGGACTGTGCATGTTTGCTAAGGAAATGGTAGATTTAGGATATGGCTCTGCTTCTGACCAACTGATTTCCAAGGTTTATCAAAATGAAGGGAATCTGAATAAGAAGTTTTTCTATATAACATTCAGAATATTTCAATAATATTAAACTAAGCACCCTCAACTGAGTATTTTCATAGGGAAAAATGAGAAAAACTTACCCTAATAGAAATCCCCATTGCCAGGGAAAATTCAAAAGGAAGTGGGAAATAACAGCAGTTGCACATGCCTCCATGAGGCATGGACCCATAGCCAATCTTAAACAAACTCCCTTTAAATGCTTCAAAGCCTGAAATATAAAAATGGTTACATTTAGACAAACTTATAATGGTACTAAGAAAATCATTTAAGCAAATACTGAAATACGTAGTCTTTTTTGAGTAATAAGCTTTTACTAAACTAAATCTCCAAGACTGCCCCACTGGGCTTAACATGCTTCTACAGTTCATTTTATATGTCATCACAGATTGGGTCATAAACTATTTTATAAAACATTGTTGTATCTAAATTATTTAAAAAGATACATTTCTCTGTGATTAAATAACTACTTCTACCTTCCTTCATTTTCCTAGTAAATACCATAATGAAAGTATCCTATAGGTTTATTTCTATCAGTTAACCTTTGTTGAACTTAGCAATTACAAGTAGAAAATCAAAATGCCAGAAGAGAAAAAATCACTTAAAAAACTGTATAATTAACTAAAAGGGAGAACTTTAACATTTTCTTACTGATTCAAATTTTTTGGAGACTATAATTATCACTGTCTATAATTATTTATGCTTTTGAGATATTTCTAATAAACTTATACATTTACCACATTTGAGTAGCTGTTACATTCATGAGTTTTATCTTTTTAAAACCCACATAGATTTATGATTCCTAAATAGAAATATTTTAAGAAATATTTTAAAAGATTAGCTTTCTCAATAAAGCAAAGATAATCAGGAACATACTTCTGTGGGAAAAAAGTCATGAAACAAAAATATTTCCGAAATTCTTAATCTCTCTGAAAAAACGAAACAAAACAAAGCAAAAACCTTGACCTTATTTGTTTAAAGAAAAGTAAATAGTTCTCTATAGAAGAGCCACAGCTCCTAAATAATAGAAATGCTGCATAATGGACATTTATCTCTATGCAAATAAAGATGATCTCTGATAGAGATTTTACATCACAGTGTTTTCTCTTCATATCAGTAATAATGATAAACGGAAGTAGAAATGAAGGTGTCAATATTTCTGCAAAATCTTTGTTCTTTACCTTAATTTTTGCTTACAGACTCTACTTGTAGCAGCCATAATAAAAATTCTGCCTCTTTTTCATTTCTACCAGCCTCTAATATTTAAAAAATATTTACTTAAGGTATAATGGGACATCTACCTGTGAATCCAGTCCAAGCCCAGCTTGTATTAGGATAATGGTAAGGGCAGTATTTCTTAAAGTTAAAGACCATGTGTTACTAACACGGATGCGTTCACTGAGATATGGAACATTCCTGATGGTAAAACCAGCCAGTAACATCCCTTAAAAGAAAGAAAATAAAGCATGTCTGATTCAGTCCATTTTTCCAAGAAAGAAAACAGGAATGGTTGGTTTCCTCTCTTCAAATGAACTCTCTCATGTAGGTTACATACAAGTAGAAGAGGCAGTACATATAAGGGAATGGAGACAAGAAATGGCCTATCTTACTGGAGTACAAGGAATTCAGTGTTGCTAGAACATAAAGGGCAAAGATAGGACTAGAGAATGGGCAGAAGGGGCCAGATCATGGAAAGCTACCTTCCCCCACTTTGTCAGAGTAAGGCAACATGGGAAAGTTTTAGGTGGGAAGTGACATAATGAATCTTGCATTTTTTATGTGATGGTCTTGGTGAATTAGATAGACATAAAACTGGAGGAGAGACCAATTTAGAAAGCTCTGCTATAGTCCAGAGAAGAGTTGGAAACAAATAGCATAAGCTAGAGCAAGAGGAGGAAAAAAGATTCGATGAATACTTAATAGGTGCTAAAGGGTGTTATGGACATAGAAGGAGTGTTAGAAGTAAGATGGAGAGATTACCTCTACTGACAATATACTGAATATTTGGATGTATTGAATACTTAGAAGAGATGAGACATTCAGAAGTTCTTCCAGTAATTCTCCTCTGTTCAGATAGAGAGTGATATAATAATGGTAATGAAGAAATAGAGTATAATATAATATGATGCATCCATGAATATACATAGTGGAGATGCCCAAACACCTTACTCAAAAAACATGGGACATTTTAGTTTCCTTGTTACCATAATACTTGAATCTCATAATTGTATTCGAATTAGGTTATCTACAGAAAAAATCAGTTTTCTCCAATTTTTTCCTTCTCTATAATGTATTTAAAATGAAGTAAAAAATGTCTTACTAAATAATGCATCAAGAATCACATACTGAGTATAGTTAAATTATTTAAAAGATTTAAAACATGTGTAGGAAAAAAACAAATGCTTCTATAAGTGGCCTATATATACACATTTATAGTAAATATACATATAAATAAGCTGTATGATCACATTACATTGAAATATTTCTGAATTATATTTACTCTGACTAGAATATGTTCATAATTTACATATAGTCAATAACAAAGAAATGAGAACTAATTATACACTTACCAAGAAGAGGTGGAAGCTGAGGCACTGAAGGTATTCTAATGAGTTCCAAAAGTTTTCCCCCAATAATGGCACTAAAAAAGATAATTAACAGTCCAAATAAATTTCCACCAGGGAGAACTTCAGGGCCTGAGAATGACCAACACATACACCATATCATAAGAAGTACAACTCCTGAAATAAAAAGCACACATTTATATATTTACATAGACATATATATATATATATACATACAAAAGATGAATTCTATTTTATCAAATAGCATTAGTAGCCATTCCTACATGTCTATACATAGTGTAGACTAGTGTGGTTTCCTTGTATGGTTGAAGAAATATCGTTCAAATATAATGTTCCAAAGTCTCTGTCAATTGATGGGACAAGCTTTAAACAAATTTCTTTTTAATTAAGGTATCATTGATATACACTCTTATGAAGGTTTCACATGAAAAACATTGTGGTTACTACATTCACTCACATTACCAAGTCCCTTCCATACCCCATTGTAGTCACTGTCCATCAGTGTAGTAAGATGCCACAGAGTCACTATTTGCCTTGGTGCTACACTGTCTTCCTGTGACTCCCCCTACACACCATGTGACTAATCATAATACCCCTCAATCCCCTTCTCCTCCCTCCCCACCTGCCCTCCCCCACCCCTCCCCTTTTGTAACTGCTAGTCCCTCCTTGGAGTCTGTGAGTCTGCTGCTGTTTTGTTCCTTCAGTTTTGCTTTATTGTCATATGCCATATACATATAGAAATGAGTGAAGTTATTTGGTACTTGTCTTTGCTCTGCCTGGCTTATTTCACTGAGCATAATACCCTCCAGCTCCCATCTATGTTGTTGCAAATGGTAGGATTTATTTTTTTTATAGCTGGATAATATTCCATTGTGTATATGCACCCTCTTTTTTATTCATTCATCTACTGATGACACTTGGGTTGCTTCCAAGATTATCTTGGCTATTGTAAATAGTGCTGCTATAAACATAGAGGTGCATGTCTTTTTGAATATGGGATCGTGTTTTCTTTGGGTAAATTCCTAGGAGTGGAATTCCTGGGTCAAATGGTATTTCTATTTTCAGTTTTTTGAGGAACCTCCATATTGCTTTCCACAATGGTTGAACCAATTTACATTCCCACCAGCTCCTGCTTTCATTGATTATTCCTATTGTATTCTTCTCAATTTTATTTATTTCTGCTCTGATGTCACTCTTTCTATTGACTTTGGGCCTCATTTGTTCTTCTTTTTCTAGTTTCATTAGTTGTGAGTTTAGAGTGTTCACATGGGATTTTTCTTCTTTCCTGAGGTAGGCCTGTATTGCAATATCCTTCCCTCTTAGAATGGCCTTCACTGCATTCCACAGATTTTGTGGTGTTGAGCTGTTTTCATTTGTTTCCATATATTGTTTGATCTCTGTTTTTATTTGGTCATTGATCCATTGATTATTTAGGAGCATGTTATTAAGCCTCCATGTGTTTGTGGGCTTTTTTGTTTTCTTTGCATAATTTATTTCTAGTTTCATACCTTGTGGTCTGAGAAGCTGGTTGGTACAATTTCAATCCTTCTGAATTTACTGGGGCTCTTTTTGTGGCCTAGTATATGATCTATTCTTAAAAGTGTTTCATGTGCCCTTGAGAAGAATGTGTATCCTGCTGCTTTTGGGTGGAGTGTTCTGTAGATGTCTGTTAGGTTCATCTGTTCTAATGTGTTGTTTAGTGCCTCTGTCTCCTTACTTATTTTCTATCTGGTTGATCTGTCCTTTAGAGTGAATGGTGTGTTGAAGTCTCCTAAGACCAATGCATTGCATTCTATTTCCCCCTTTAATTCTTTAGTATTTTTTTCACATATGTAGGTCCTCCTATGCTGGGTGCACAGGTATTTATAATGGTTATATCCTCTTGTTGGACTGACCCTCTTATCAATACATAATGTCCTTCTTTGTCTCTTGTGACTTTCTTTGTTTTGAAGTCTATTTTGTCTGATACAAGTACTGCAATTCCTGCTTTTTTCTCCCTACTAGTTGCATGAAATATCTTTTTCTATCTCTGTGAATTTTATTAATAATGTATAATATTGGTTTATCAATTATAATACATAAAAATGTATTACATTAATGCAAGATATTAATAATAGGGGGAACTGTGTGTGTTTGTGTGTTGGTGGGGCAATAGTGGTGGTGAGGGGTTATATGGAAACTCCCTGTATTTCTCACTCAATTGTTTTGTAAATCTAAAAAAAAGTTGTTTAAAATAAAATCTATTAATTAGAAAAAGAAGAAAATCTATGAAACAATATTAAAATGGTGTAACATATGTATAGTTGAAATATGGGTAGGAGAGGAGACAGTGAATGCAGCTGGATAAATATTTGAAGAGAGAATGACTGAACATTTTCCAGAAGTGATGAAAGACAATGTACAGATCTAAGAACCCTACTGGACCCCAAGTATGAAAAATATAAGGAAGAGTATACCTTTGCAAGTATTTTCTCCCAGTTTGTGGTTTGTCTGCTCATTCTCTTGACATTGTCTTTATAGTGCAGAAGTTTTTCATGTTTAAGAAGTCCAACTTAATTATATCTTTCTTGGATTGTGCCTTTGCTGTTGTATATAAAAAGTCATCACCTTACCAGTCATCTAGGATTTCTCCTATGTTGCTTTCCAGATGTTTAATAGTTTTGAATTTTACATTTAGGTCTATGACCCACTTTGAGTTAATTTTTGTGAAGTGTATAAGGTCTGAATCTAGTTCCATTTTTTTTACATGTATATGTCCAGTTCAACATTTGTTGAAATATTGTCTTTCTTCCATTGTACTGCCTTTGCTCCTTTGTCAAAGATCAGTTCACTATACCTATATAGGTGCATCTATGGACCCTCCATTCTGTTTCATTAATATATTTATCTAGTTTTTTGTCAACACCACCTCTCTTGATTATTGTAGGTATACAGCAAGTCTTGTGGTTGGGTAGTGTCCATTCTCCAAAATTTTATTTTCCCCTTCAGTATTGTGTTGGCTCTTCTCAGTCTTTTGCCTTTCCATAAACTTTAGAATTAGTTTGTTGACATTCACGAAATAATTTGCTGGAACTTTGATTGTGGTTGCATAGAATCATAGAGATCAAGTTTAAGAGAACTGACAAGTTGACAATACTTAGTATTCATGGAACATGGAACTTTATGCATTTATTTAGTTCTTTTTCTATGACTTTCATCAGAGTTTTGCAGTTTTCCTCATGTATATCTTGTAAATATTTTGTTAGATTTACACCTAGGTATTTCATTTTGGGGGTATTATTAGTGGTTCAAGTTTCTTTGATTTTTCAGATTTTCTACTCAATTATGTCATGTCTGAACAAAACTTTCTTTCTTCCCAGACTACATGACTTTTATTTTCTTTTGTTGTCTCTCTGTATTATGTAGGGCTTCCAGTCCAATATTGAAAAGGAGTGGTGAGAGAAGTCATCCTTACCTTATTTCTGATCTTAGTGGAATAGCTTCTAGTTTCTCACCCTAAGTAGTTGTAGAAGTTTACTTGCTGTTCTTATTAAATTGAGGAAGTTCCCCTCTATTCATAATTTGCTGAGAGTTTTTAACATGAAAGGGTGTTGGATTTTGTCAAATACTTTTTTTGCATCTATTGATATGATCATGTGATTTTTCTTCTTCATTCTGTTGATGTAGTAGATTACATTAAATCAATTTCAAATGCAAACCAAAATTTACATACCTAGGATAAGTCTCCCACATTGGTTGTGATGTATAATTTTTAATACACTGTTGAGTTTGATTTGCTGCTATTTTGTTGAGGATTTCTGCAAATATGTTCAATATAGATCTTGGTCTATAGTTTTCTCATTTGGTTTTGATAATAGGAAAATGCTAACCTCAATGAGTTGGTAAGTATTCCTCTGCTTCTACCTTCTGGAAAAGATTGTAGAGAATTGGTATAAGTTATTTCTTAAATGTTTGGTAGAATTCACCAATGAAATAAACTGGGTCTAGTGCTTTTTTTTTGAGAAGTTATTTTAGTAATTTTTTTATGCAATAAAGTTTATAAACAATATTATGTTGATTTCAGATATATAACAGAGACTTGGTAATTGTATACATTACTAAATACTTGGCACAGAGGCATATTTACCCCTTTATACCAAGATTTTACAATATTATTGGTTAAATTCTCTACGTTTTCCTTACATTCCCATGTCTAACTTATTTTACAATTTGTACTTTGTACCTCTTTATCCACAGCACCTATTTCACCCATCCCTAGAGGTTATTAGTTACTGATTCAATTTCTTTAATAAATACAGGCCTATTCAAATTGTCTACTTCTTCTAACATGCATTCTGGTAGATTGTTGCATCTTTCAAGGAGTTGCTCCTCTTTTTTAGGTTGTCAAATTTGTGGGAAGAATTGTTCAGAATATTATCTTTTTTGATGTCCCTGAGCTTTGTAGTGATGTCCCCATTTTCATTTCTGATATTAATGATTTATATCTTCTCTCTTTTTTTTTCTTAGTTAGCCTAGCTAGAGGCTTATTGAGTTTACTGATTTTCAAAATCCAGCTTTTGGTCACTGATTTTCTACTGATTTCTACTTTTCAATTTTTTCTACATTACTTTAAAAAAATTAAACCAATTACATTTAAAAAATACAATGAAATTTGTTTTAAAGTAGAGTTTTTCTTCCTTTCCTAAAAACTGCTATCTTTCTCATTATGAAAATCCATGATTTAAATTGAACTTTTTTTTCTGTCCTTTCTTCTTTGTAAAAATTTTTTATTAAGGCATTATTGATATATACTCTTATGAAGGTTTCACATGAAAAAACAATATGGTTACTGCATTTACCCATATTATCAAGTCCCCACACATACCCCATTGCAGGCACTGTCCATCAGTGTAGTAAGATGCTGCAGAACCACAGTTTGCCTTCTCTGTGCTACACTGTTCTCCCCGTGACCCCTCACACCATGAGTACTAAACGTAACAGTCCTCAATCCCCATCTGCCTCACTCCCGACCCACCCTGTCACACCCCTCCCCTTTGATAACTACTAGTCCATTCTAGTCCAGTTTTGCTTTGTTATTATACTCCACAAATGAGGGGAATCATTTGGTGCTTGTCTTTCTCCACCTGGCTTACTTCACTGAGCAGAAAATCCTCCAGCTCCATCCATGTTGTTGCAAATGGTAGGATTTGTTTCTTTCTTATGGCTGAATAGTATGCCATTATGTATATGTACCACTTCTTCTTTATCCATTAATCTAGTGATGAACAATTAGGTTGCATCTATATCTTAGCTATTGTAAATAGTGCTACAATAAACATAGGGGTGCACATGTCCTTTTTGAATCTGAGAACTTATATTCTTTGGGTAAATTCCAAGGAGTGGGATTCCTGGGTCAAATGGTATTTCTATTTTTAGAGTTTTGAGGAACCTCCATATTACTTTCCACAATGGTTGAACTAGCTTACATTCCCACCAGCAGTGTAGGAGGATTCCCCATTTCTCTGTATCCTCACCAGCATTTGTTTTTCTTAGTCTTTTCGATGCTGCCCATCCTAACTGGTGTGAGATGATATCTCATTGTGGTTTTAATTTGCATTTCCCTGATGATTAGTGATGTGGAGCATATTCTCATGTGTCTGTTGGCCATCTGAATTTCTTGTTTGGAGAATTGTCTGTTCATATCATCTGCCCACTTTTTAACAGGGTTATTTGCTTTTTTTGATGTTAACCACTTGTCAGATACGTTGTTTACAAACATAATCTCCCATACTGTAGGATGCTTTTTTGTTCTGTTGATGATGTCCTTTGCCATACAGAAGCTCTTTAGTTTGATGTACTCCCATGTGTTCATTTTTGCTTCTGTTTCCCTTGCTCAAGGAGATGAGTTCCGGAAGAAGTTACGTTTATATTCAGGATATTTTTGCCTATGTTGTTTTTTAAGAGTTTTATGGTTTTCTGACTTATATTCAGGTCTTTAATCCACTTTGAGTTTACTTTTGTGTATGGACAGGGATTAGACAATAATCCAGTTTCACTCTCTTGCATGTAGCTGTCCAGTTTTGCCAACACCAGCTGTTGAAGAGGCTGTCATTTCCCCATTGTATGTCCATGGCTCCTTTATCATATATTAATTGACCATATGTGCTGGGTTTATATCTGGGCTCTGTAGTTGGTTCCATTGGTCTATGGTTCTGTTCTTGTGCCAGTACCAAATTGCTTCATTACTGTGGCTTTGTA